ACTATACAACACTCATTTCTGTGACATGTTCCATGCATCATGTATCTATGTACGTAATCTGTCTCGAATGGATTCTTGCAAGTAAAATGTCAATTAAAAAAATATTCTGTCGTCAAGTGTGGTTCTTTAGAGTAAACAACGTTAGTAAGAGAGAGTTTCTCTGACAATAGTTATGTGGAATAATGTCAAATGTAACCAAAAAAAAAGATAACATGTTACAAAGTTAAGTTATAGATACTGATGGCTGTAGGCAGGAAGGATCTCTTGTAAAGGTCTGTCTCACAACGGATCCGAAGAAACTGGTCACAGATGCTGTCCGATCCATCCACCCAGACCCGCCAAAATGCTGTGGTGAACTCCTCCCAGAGCAATGGCCACTCCATCCAGCAGACTGCCGAGCTCCTTGTCGCTGCAGACAGCCGGCCGGGGGACGATCCCGGTCCTTCTGCTGCCACGAGCCGCGTTTCCTGCCAGTTACAGGATCTCAGTGGTCAGGCACTCAAGCTTAGCCGGCAGGGAGATGGGAATGCATCCTTGGTGCCTCATTTTCAACACATTTGAATTTTGGGACTATAGTTATTATTTGAGCTTTTGAGATATTAATCAGCTCCTACTGGTTGTAAAAAAACACCTTATTGTTATGGTAATGCATCATAACAAATGTCCACAACAACAAAAAATCATTAAAAGTCCTTCCAGCTGCCATGCATCTGATACCAGAAGAAACAATCATCCAAAAAAGGGGATTTACATCCAGAAAAAGAGGAATGAAAGTTTGCAAAAGCAAAATCTCAGAATGAATGTAACAGAGCTACTCCAACATGCAGCCACCCTGAGTGGCACAATTCTAGAATGTATATATATGATACTGGAATCAGCCAATATCTTGCCACACATATTACACAGTAGCTCTACAGTGACTGGTCTGAAAGACTACTGGCCAGTGGCCCTCACCCTGATAGTAGCTAAATGCTTTGAAAAACTGGTCATGACCCACATCAATGCATCCATCATCATCAACAAGGACCATCACCAGTACGCATACCGCAAGAATCAATCAACAGAGGATGCCATCTCCTATGTGGTCCATACTGCTCTTACCCATCTGGAGCAGGACTCCTACGTCCATATGCTCTTTGTGGACTTCACGTCTGCCTTCAATACTACAATCCCCCAAACCCTGATGGACAAACTACTCACACTAGAACTAAGCCCCTCCATTACTTCTTAACAAACAGACCGCAGTCAGTGAGGATCCACAACTTCTCATCCTCCATCATAACCCTCAGTTCTGGCTCCCCTCAGAGATGTGTGCTGAGTTCTCTCTGTTCACTCTGCTCACGCATGACTGTGCACCTACCTATCCAGGCTGTCACATTGTAAAGTTTACAGATGATACAGCTGTGGTGAGATGCATCACAAACAATGATGAGTCCAGCTACAGGCAGGAAGTAGAACACCTGGAGAGCTGGTGCAAGGAGAATAGCCTTCAGATCAGTGTGACGAAGACAAAGGAGATGGTCGTGGACTTCAGAAAGAACAAACCCACCTATCTCCACCCCCCCACCCCCACCCCACCAAATATAGGAAGATCTTCAGTGGAAGTGGTCTCCAGCTACAAGTATTTGGGTGTGCACCTGAATGACAACCTCAGCTGGGAAAAAAACACCACCAGCCTGATCAAGAAAGCTCATCAGAGACTCTACTTCCTCAGGTGGTTGAGACGAGCTGGTCTGGGAAGCTCAGGCCTCACCTCCTTCTACAGATGTGCAGTGGAGAGCATCCTGTGCTCCATCATCAATGTGTGGCATGGAGGCTGCACAGCTGCAGAAAGAAAAGCTTTACAGAGAGTGGTGAAGGCTGCACAGAAGACTGTTGGAGTCAGTCTCCCCACCATCACAGACATCTACACCAATAGATGTAGGAAGAGGTCCACCTGCATCATGAACACAGCAACATGAAACAGATCAGCAGCAACACGAAACAGATCAGCAGCAACATGATGTGATTTTTCACAGTGATTATCTTGGTTAGAGATTCTTGAGTCTAACAGCCTCAAGGTAGAAGCTGTTCCTCAGTCTAGTGGTTTTACACTTAGGGGCAGCTGTGGCTGAGTGGTTAGAGCAGTCATCCTCCAATGCGAGAGTTGGCGGTTCGAATCCACCAGCAGTCACATGCTGAAGTGTCCCTGGGCAAGACACTGAACCCCTCATAGCCTCTGATGTG